TATTCTGTCTATTAATACGCTTGTACAACAATAAATTTAAATATTTACCTCTGCTGTAAAAGTATGTCGGCATGGTTTTTTYTCGGAGTCGTTGCCCAAATTAAATATGCATGAAATAAAAATAATAATATCACGCTAAATAGTAGAACGCTGTTACGGCCACGACCTCTTGTAGGCGGTTTTACTACGGATCGCAACGAAAAATACTATTACACCACACTAGCACAACTGGCGGACTCACCGCTACAACTACACCAGTATTCAGTATTCAGTTTCAGTATACCAGACACCACTAACGGAACCAACACCACTAAAACACCATTCACCAGTCACCACCAGCTGCAGTTGTTACCACTACCACAACCATCACCACCGGTGACCGCGATCGTTGAACCATGTGTCGGTATTGTTTATATTTATTATATTCCGTGGCGCGGTGTATACGTCCTACGTTATCCGATAACATTTTATCGGCCAGGCGCCGAAGCCGATTGCGCACGCGCGAGCGTGAATTCGCACGCCGTCCCGCCACAACCGAGGGTACTAACTATACCTATTTGATCATACTTCGTTGGTTATGACGGCCGGTGGCATAATAGGTACGGAACACACGATTTACCCGGGACAACCCTTCACTTCGTCTGATGATTTGAGAGTTTCTCATGATATAATAAATGCGGATTGATATAAATAAAAATTATATAACAACTGAATAAAAATAATTTTTTAATAAAATAAAAGGATATTATTAGAATAGGGATTATAATTTGTAGGTAGCAAGTACTAAGTACTAAGTAGCATATTTATAGACATTGATTTACGATGTAGCTTATCAATTATACAATAAATTTTAATTTATAACACTAATCGGTGCACGTACCTAACGGATATGGAGACGGATCACGGCTGCCACGGCTACCTCTWCCTATAAGACTGATTATCCGGTTTACCGTCAAACGTTTATTATTATTTATTACTACGGTTTAATAGTCAAGCACAGCAAATTATATTGCGAATCGTTTTTTATCAATGTAGTGCGTATTCTCCACAGTACACAAATCTTTGGAGATTAACCGCGTCAAACGATCATTGATAAAGCATATACTTATACATTTATAAGTTTATAACCTTATAACCTTATAACTTATATAACTTATAACTAAAGGGTGGATGTTCATGCATTTGCATATTTTTTTCCTTTAATAATAAAAGTTGCAGAGTAAGATAAAAATTTGTTTTGTGATAAACAGGGTGATTTTTTTTATCATGAACCACTCATTATTTCAAAAAGTATCAATGTTTTTGAAAATATTTTTTTACAAAGTTTCATGTTGTTAAAAAAACAATGTTTTTATTAAAAAATTATGYTTTTAATATTTTTTATCCTTATAATTTTATAAAAAAATGAAAGCAAAATTTTTATGTTACATATATTTGCATATTTCGATCCATTTTTCTTTCAAAGCATATTTATATTTTATTAGCGCATAATAATGCATATTTGGTATCTTAAGTTTTTACTTGACATTTAACATTAAATTATTGTCTATCTCAATTACTATTTTAGAAATTTCATCTTTATTGATAATTGTTATCGATTGTAAGTACCTAATGGGCCAATTAGTAATAGCTAATAGATACCTATGAGTACTCTGAATTACATTGACAGTTAGTCGTTGTTCGTAGACCGATTCACGACTTTGGCGAGTGCTTTCGTTTCACGTTGCTTTATGCCTGTATAGTGCGTGGAGTTAGTGTTCATATTTTATAAACATCTGTCAATTTTTTTTGTTAAATGCCAAAAGAAAAAAGGTCATTAGTTGCGCGAATGCCATCATTTGTTTCTAAATTCAGTGAACAAGTTTTTTCAACCGATGGAAAGATTTTGTTTTGTAARCCATGTGGGATAAAAATCAATTGCGAAAAACGATTTTCTGTAGTGCAACATCTTAGTACATAATATATAATCACAACCGTTCTGTTAGACGACATTCTGATAAAAATGAACTATCACAAAAGTTAATCACGCAGTCTGCCACCAACTACCAACATTTTCGAAATACTTTGATTAGTTTTGAGCTGTTTACTGACATTTTAATTTTTCAACTTTTTTAGTTTTTTTTTCTATTATTATCAACATTAATTTTATTGGTTGGGTCAAATAGCTTCAAAATTTAATATAAGGCTTCCAACATATTGCTTCAATAGCAGTTGAAAAATATTTAAAATACATAGGCACGATTTTTTTTTTATAAGCACTTAAAGTTCAAATTTTGAACAAATAGGTACATAAAAATTACGGCAATGTTCAAATTATCTTAGATAGAAACTCATTATAATTTTTCTTTTTAAATCTAAGATTTGAAAAATTAATTCAAGATTCCTTAAAAGTTTGTTTTAATCAAAAAAAAAAAAAATGTCCACCGGAAAGTCAAATATTTTAATAAGTAATAATGATCTATAATATATCCTAAACAGATAAACCGTCTCCGCTCAGAATCATTTTTCGTATACAATGATATGATATTATTGGATTCAAATTTAATTCCATCCATTAAAGTAATGTCAGTAAACTACTTGTAACCTAYTGTACAGCAGAGTGATATCCACGACGTATCCTTTTTTTTATTCAAAAATATATTGGATACGTGATTGGATATGTGATATATATAATCATTCAATTACACTATTTTAATATGATTTTAGTAATGACTATTGAATACATTCGTAGTTCTAGGATTGATATAGCCGATATAGGTACTTAAAAATTAATGAATATTGGGATGCGATGTTTACAAAAAAAAATTAAATTTTGAATGAAAGCTTATTCACAAGCGTCTGTAATACGCTGAATACAACTACTTATTTCATTTCATTCATTTTTAGTTTTCAATGTGAATTATAAACTTTAAAGTTTAAAGTATCTCTCGACTATACTAAGGCACTTGACAAACTAAATCACTGCGTGCAGATCGTAAATCCATTAGAGTACCAGCCTTAAGATAAAGTCTTCGTATACTAATTAAGTAAAATACCAATTTGTGTTTAAATATATCTTCACACCATATATGTGACAAATGTATTAGATTTAATATGTTAATTTATGTGTCACATTAGCGCTAACCTACTATACAAAAGGATGCAATCGGAATACAGAAAATATAGGAAAAAATCATTTACCCTAGTCCGGGACGAAATCGACAAACTCAGCTATCACTAGTATTCACTACTGATTATCATTAACTGTTATTTATTTATTTATGGAGAAAAAAACTCCATTTACAAAAAGTATGTACAAATATAACAGTTACAAAATAATTTCATAGAAAAAATAAAGCTTTCACAGTAGGTATGTGAGAATCAATTTGTATACAATAAAAAGTAAAATTAATAATGATATAATAATAACAATAATCTCGTGGTACAAAGTTTGGTAATATTGTTATATTCTGTGGTAATATTATGACAATTTAAATTAAACCATATATCTGTTTAATATCATTACTACTACAATTAAATAAATCTAAATTGGCAAAATTACCTAATGACATTATCATATTTGCTGGTGAATTTAGGGAATAATTTGTCTTTGTGTTCGTAAGAAAAATAAATTATCATTTCTCGTGTTTTTTTGGGTTGGTATTAAAATTTAGATTCTCTAATAAAGATCTGCAATCAATTTCATAATTAAGTAGTTTGAATAGAAAATTGAAATTCAAATAGTTTCTGCGGTTTTTTAGGGGTCATATCAAAAAAGCGGGAAAGTGGGTATCGCTCTGCTGTACATTAGGTGGTGGGGTGGACCTCTGACTAGAGTAGGTTAGATTTGAATACAATGATGGGTATCATTGTATACGAAAAACGATTCTGAACGGAGATGATTTGTCAGTCTAGGATATATTATATTTAAATATTGTCATATTATATTCTATTTTGAAATAAATATTTTATTTTTCAATTAAGWWGCATTTTGCATAAGGTATAGTTAATCAATTAGTGTAGTTATCATAATTCATAATACCTTATATTATCATAGATATACATATACCTGGTTTGAGGATAAATCGTTATCGTTACGCGATTTCATAAAAATTTAAAATTCAAACGCACTTAAAATTATTCCTTTAATTATGCTTCGATTTTCCTCTATAGCTACTTGAAGGAAATCTTATGGAAAACTTAGTGTTGTATTTTTAATCCTTAAAAAACACAAAATATTTTATGATTTTTCAACTTCAAAATTACTTGCAAATTTTCGACAGATTTCGTAAAAATTTGAACTATATACGCTTATAAAAAAAATTTGTGACGAACGATTTTTAATTTTTTTTTAGCTACAATAAGAACAACTCATAAGGAACCTTGTATTAAATTTTCAAGTTTTTTTGGTCATCCAACATTTTTTTACAGACACTTTAAAAAAAATTCTCATACAAATCGAAAATTTCAATAGCCTATAAATAACTAAAAAAAGCCAAACATTTTTGAAAATTAAACTGCATATAGATATCACTAACATAAACATTTGGTGAAAATTTCAAGTATTTACAGTTATTAGTTTTTGAATTACAACCATATAAAAAAATCGATTTGGTCGAAAACTGCAGGTTTTGCGTAAAAATTTCCGTTTTTCTGTTAATTTTATTTTGTTTTTCTCGATTTTTTTTTAAATTGTTGGAAAATGTTTACTTTTGACCTCTATAATGCACCAAGGATATTCACTTTTACATCGGAAACCACTCCCAAAGTTTGAAATTGAAGCATGAAGCATTATKTCGACTAGTTATGATGTACACAGACACAAAAAAAAACACACATCATTGTAAAATCAATACATTCATCGCTCCGCTCAGTATATATTATGTATTTTGGCTTAAAAGATATTTACGTTTTCGAATATAGGTTTATAAACAAAAAAAAATTAACAATATTTTTAATTTCGAAATAGTTGGTTATAAAGTTACATTTATTTAAAATAAAGTGTAACAATACCAAATATTATGTCTCAAAATTATTCTAATAAAAACGAAAATAGACTTTTAAAGATAACCGTCAGCAATGATCAACTAATTCAATTACACGATTCAAACATACTAGAAAACGAAAAAAGTACTATAAAAAAGGTTACGTCTTTGAATACCAGTAGAATTGAAACAAAGCAAAAACACAATACTTGTCGAAAAACATACAAAGTAAAACTTACTAACTATAAAAAACAGCAGATTGCATTTAGAGCAGCATATAATGAATTAAAAATGAGCTACGAATCATTAAAAAAATTTAAAAAGGATTTATTATCTGATAACAACAGTTTGGAATTGGAAGAACTTGAAGAATTAGACTACATAGTAAATACGAACTATTTTTATTAAATATTAATTCTACGTAGTACATCAGTACATGATAATATTTGTTGTATAATTTCATAATCTCTTTTAATATTTAATGTTTTATGTATAATGTATATACTTTTATAGGTTCAAAACACTTTGCAAGACAAATTTGGAAAAACATTCTCAAAAGCAGAGGATTCGTTTAAAAAAGATCACGCAGTTTTTGTTTTTAATCGTAATATACCATTAATGTGGCAAAATATTAACTCTACAACTGGTTATCAAAAATTAGACTTATCAATTAAAGAAGYATATAACTATATATGGGATAATTATTTAGCCGTATCTGAAAGGAATATGGAGTATCATTTTTGGCTTCAAAATATTATTGAACCAAATGAATTCTATGATTTACACACTGTTAGAAAATACTTAATACAAAACATGTTTAATAAAGAACAGACTGCTATAAACTTAGAAACAAAATTGAATGATTTTTATAATAATTTACAATTGAAATTTATGAATATAATAAGAGAGGCTGATGATATTCTTAATTTTGAAAACAAAGTTATTAAAAAAAATGAATGTGAAGAATTAGAAGCAAATGCAGAAATTAAACTTCAGATGGCAATTGAAGAGCATAAACATAAAATGGATACAAAAATAAAGATGTTAGAAATGAAAAATGAGAAGTTGAGACAAAAGGAGTCTGAATATTCAACACAAATAAGAACTTTGTTAGGAGAACTCTCATTTAGAAACAATAGATTGAATAATGCTAATGACCGTGTAAAACTGTTAACGAAAGAAAAAAATGATTTGATTTCTATGATACAAAAAATAGAAGTAAAAAGTGAAAGTTATCTAACACTTCAAAATCAAATTGCAAAAGAGCAAGAAAAAAATCAAAATTTAAGAAGTATTTTAGAAGAAGAATATGAAAAAAAGGAAATTAATTTTTGATAAGAGAAAACTTATCTAAATAACTGAATTTTAATGTAAGTGTTCAAACAAATTTTTCTTGAAATATACTAATGGTTTTAAATAACTATTGTTTTTATATTATATACAATATCACTGTTATATGTACCTACCTGCTATAGCTATATGCTTCTAATAAAAAATGGTTATTCCTTTTGAACAACACGAGGGGAACTTATTCCCTATCAACAATTCGAAATTAAACATAACTTATACATATTTATAATACCGCCTACGTTCATTGTGTTAAAAATAAAACAATTATATTAAACAACTATGCAATCATTTCAAAAATTACGCGCGATGAGCTATATACTATATCCATAACACACCAATGATACTTAGTACCTATTGTAAATAGGTATTTAAATTGTAGAATTATTTTAAAGAATGATAAAGTGCAGATGATTTAGACAATTAAGAAATACTGCGTTTGAGTAAGAGTATGATATTTGAGGTGGGATTTTGACGAATTTCTTGAAAATTCTAATAAAATCCTAACACTTCAAACTCTTATAAAAAAAATATTGTGAATATGTATTTTCAAGGAAGTATTAGGTTGCTGATAAAATAATGATTAAGCATAAAGAGGATTAACTATGATATGAAGAAATTCAGCTTTTAAGTATAAAGGCATAATATTTGAAGTGGGTTTCAAAAATAATTCATAGTATAATACATTTATACGAATTGTCAGAAAACTTTTACCTTCAACTTTTATTCAAACGTATATTATTAGGTACACGMCTATAAAAATTAATAAACTAAACACCATTATTCGATGATATAGAATAATAATATATACACCAACCGACTTTTCGAAACAATTTGCCCAATTGAAGATCAATCAACGACTTTCTCTGCTTCCTCAAATAATAGAATTAGAAAAACAAAAAAGAGGGGGAGTATGTAATTGCTTAGCAACACAGTGAAAGTCCAGCGTACCTCAACATTGAGTAATGGATGTGTTAATTTTGAATCCAATGATAAATTATTACATACGAAAACGATTTTATATATCATATAAATATAACGCAATTGATTATTACAGTAATTAATACTGTATTGTCAGTTATATAAGCTATAACTTCAAATGCTTATAAGAAAAAACCGTTCTTATATTTTTAAGTGGCTATATAGGCATATAGCATACAGTGTGAAAAAAAATTTATCGGCATTTATTGAAAAAATTGTTTAAAAAATCGTACATGTCAAATGTCCATAAAACGATCAATTTAGTCGAAGCCGGGTTTTGCTCAAAAATTCTTTTTTTCCCTTGATTATTTTGATAAAAACTGATTACTATATTCTAAGTTTTGAACAATTCTCAAATTTGTTAATCGATGAATTTTTCTTGCTAATTTTCATGTGTAGACACAAAAAACACACAAGCGTCACAGTAAAAATCCTACTTAAAAACTATTTTATTAATTTTATTGTTTAATAATTTTAAGAATTAAAAKCAAAGATATAAATATTCAAAAATATATGTAGCTAATCGCTGGCTAGAGTTCACTTTCATAGAAGTTGAGTGTAATTAAAAATAATAAAAATAAAAACATATAACAGGAAATCTCATAGTTAGTTATTACAATTCCGTGTTCGAAATAAGTTTTATTCAATTTTTACTGTGTTGCATGTTGCACCTACTTGTCTCGGCAATTCATAAAATAAATATTATAATATTATTATGATCGAATCAAATCGATCAAACAATAAAATTGAGTGCAAAATAAGAATATTAATGAAAAATTTTTGTTTTATGTCCATCATATTTTCTAATCTAATTTAATTAAAGATAAAGAATTTTTTTAAAAAACAAGATAAAAAATTAAAAAAATATTTACGAAAAATTTTAAGAATATTAATGAAAAATTTTTGTTTTATGTCCATCATATTTTCTAATCTAATTTAATTAAAGATAAAGAATTTTTTTAAAAAACAAGATAAAAAATTAAAAAAATATTTACGAAAAATTTTAAGAATATTAATGAAAAATATATGAGTAACTAAATGTATTACTTGCTAAAGTATTTTTCTAAAATGAATCAAATGTATAATTACTTTTATATTCAGACATAGGTGCTTCGAATACAACGCTGCTTAATTTCTGTTCTTCAGTTGCTGGTACAAGGAACTTATCAGTTGACATCATACTTCTTAACCAAATTTTTTCCTATCAACAAAAAATTGAATATTTTAATCATAATATTTCTATATATGTTTATTTATTTAAATTGTATTAATATATCGTTCATTAATAAAACAATAACTATATACAGTGAAATCTGTATATAGCAGACAGCCACGGGACCAAAATAATTGTTCGTTATAGACAGGTTTCAGTGTTTTTAAAGTATGTAAAATTAATCTAAATAAACATATCAGTTTAATGAAAAATTAAAATATTATACGGATATTTTATTAATATTATACATACAACGAATACTATCCAATCCACCTTTTGTTTTAAATTCAAAGCTTTGCACGGTACAGGAGATATCATTGCTAAGAAAAACAACTCTGACTGCGAACCGATAGGAACTGATTCAAAACGTTAGAATTACTTATGGTTAAATATCTTTTATACGCGTATTACAATTTATATCTGGAGAGGACGATATACACGCATGTGTTGTCTCCGCCTTACAAGTGCGTAACATGGCAAATTTACGTTCAACAGATCATCATGTTTAGCTCCGTTAGTTTAAAAATTAAAGTTAATTGACCTCTTACAAAACTTAAAGGTAAGAACATTATTTGTATTCGTATGTTGGGTTTTTACGATAGTTAAGTTTTTTACAAAGTATTGTGTATATAATAAAGCGTAAATTAAAAATGCTCATAACACTCTTAAAAACTGAACTATCATAAAAGACTCAACATATGAATACAGACAATGTTCTTACCTTTAAATTTTGTAAGA